TCTCTCTCTCTCTCTCTCTCTCTCTCTCTCTCTCTCTCTCTCTCTCCTCCCTCCCTCCCTCTCTCTCTCCTCCCTCCCTCCCTCTCTCTCTTTCTCTCTCTCCCTCTCTCTCTCTCTCTCTGTCTGTCTATCTATCTCGCTTTCTCGATTGGAAAACACGAGCTGTCGTTTTTCATTTCACAGTTGAGTTCCTCCCTAGACAGATACGCGTATGCAAATTTCGCAGCAACTTCATTAGTCGAATTGTAAAGATTGCATTCCTCACGAGTGGTTCATATGACACTCATATTTATAACAGAGAACAATTCAGGGCATTTATAACCTACAGTGATACATTTGTATGACATACACCGATAAAATAGGAATACAAAAGAAATTATCAACATTTGCTCAAAGCAATATGCAATGTAAAATATAATTTGAGTGTAACTTTTAGCAAATTTGTCGCGACATCAACGTAAGAAAAAATGTTTATTGTTGTATGATGTAAATTTTGATTACTTCAAGGCAGTACATTTTCTTCATAAATGTAATTAAAACAACTCTGAAATTTTCATTGTGAAGTTTGATTGTCTCACGTTTGATAGTCACAAAGACTATCTGCGCGTTTTTTTTTTATTTGTTTAATACCAAGATCAACGCCAGAGCCATTTTATAACGGTTGATTTAGAACTTGGAATACTATTTTTATACAATACATGAATGAGGAGATGTGAATTGCAGTGATAACAACAATTAAATATTGTTCACTTGTGTGCTGTGTGAGGATAAGCTTATGACGCGTGTTTGTCTCGTGACAATTTTATACCTTCGAGTTCTGCGATCAGTTCCTCTCCACCTACGCATTATTCTTACTTTAGTCACGTTTACTTTAACGAATGATTTTTTTATGTCATTATACAATACAAATTTCGTGATTGATTAAATATAGTACGTCTGCCTCACAAATGTAATTTAAAATATTTAGAGTAGAGTTTCCATCACATCGACTGACTCATATCGTAATAATCATGAGGGTCTCATTGATCATGCAATTTGTACTCGCGCGAGCGTTCACTGAACATCGGCGAGATCGAAATAGTCGCGTGTGGGATTCAATTTATCGTTAATTTCAGATCGATTGCTCCCGGCCCCTCGCCCTGCCTATCCCTCTCCCCGCTATGTGCGAAACAAAGAGCTGCTTCTCTCTATCGACGATCTGTACGCGCCGCGAAACGCACGGTACAACGCGGGGGAGACACACGAGCGAGCAGCAACGCGACCAAAGTAGTGTCTTCTCCAATTATGCTCGGCTCCGTGGTCTCCGGGCGTATGTGATACACGGAAAATCTCAGTTTTCTCACGCAAGCCGCGCATACACGACGCCGTGTTCGTGGCGTGTTCGTCGCGAAGAGCGAAACCTTATCTCTCCGTCTCCTATCACGGACTAATGGAAAAAGATGCGCGACGCGTCACACGACACCACCGGCTATCGAGTGTCGCCGCGCATTTCGGAGAGGATGATGATAATAATGCAATTTCGAGATTAGGATTTCGTCTATCGCGCGCGCAAGAGAGAGAGAGAGACGGACGATTTTGAGTGCCCGATGAATGGACATACATCGCACGAACCTGTCGTGCGATTCAGCCAGCGTAAATAGAAGGGCTCGCGCGTATGTACACGCGTGCCCACGAATCACAACACAGACACGCGCGCCCACTCGCGCATTCGCCGCGGGCACGTAGAGACTCGTGGGATCGAATTTATATCAGGGCTCTCGACATTTTTGCGCCAGCGTAATCGTTGATCTTTTCCGCGACATGCACGGCGGCCAAGCTCCACGGTTTCCCATACATGTAGATCACGTTGATACGGATTTATATTATCGAGAACTTTCTCTGCCCCCTTTCCCCTGTCTCTCTTTCTCGCCACCCCTGCTCTCGTCGAGGACACTCTGCGATGGCAGTTTCGACCACCACCGCGAAACTGCTTCCGCCGCGCTCGTGCGAGCGCTCTCATGGCATTCTAATCGAATAGCGTTGACAAAGTTAACGAAGTTTCGCTCTAACAAGCCCTTAATGTCGCCGGACGGAATGTATGAGAGATTGCGCCATCACGTGATTCACATGAAAATCACGGCGTTCTCAAATGATCCCTCCTCCCCTCCCCTTCGACCCGCACGCCGGCGAAACAGTCTTCATTACCGCACTTATCATTGGTGAAATAATAATCCAATTACTGGGTCAGGATCGTGCTTGGACCTACTCGAGTAATGAATAGGCATCACGGACCGTTCTGTCGCGGGGTTCAACAGCGGCTCGACACGGGGAGAGAAAGAGAGAGAGAGAGAGAGAGAGAGAAAGTGAGTGACTGAGTGAGTGAGTGTGTGAGAGAGAGAGGAGAAAGCGTACACACCTTTGTATCCACTTACAGGGTGAGCTGATGTAATCAAAAGAGCGCGCCAGGACGGTTCGAGTGTATGAACGACCCTCAAATCTTCATCGGTTGGGCGCTAAAGTCCGAAATAAATAATTGTCGTAGTGAATGCGAAATATGGTCTGAGACCACCTGTGATACCTGTGATCACAGTTTGCACGAATTTTCTTCGACTGACGCGATCCTGCCTCGCAAATTCCAACGAGAGACACAGTCTTCCTGAGGACGTGCGTCCACCATCGAGGTATTCGATAAACGAAGGCGAGGAACGCGAAAAAGGAATGAGTATTCTGCGTGCACATGTGTGCGTGCGTGTATTTATAGGACCTCGAAAAAATATTTATTCTACCCGAATTGCGGGAGATTAGACTTTTACTTCGCCGCTCCGTTCGATCGGTCCACCTTGTATACGAGCGTGGCGGAGTCGCGCGCGAGCCCGATTCGTCACCGGCGCTACATCGATGGCGGAAGCCACGGGGGGTGGCGGAGGAGGGTGTGCTAGTTAGAGCCGTATTCATTACAAATTACAGACCGCGAACCGGTTTTATGACACCGCAGAAACGCGAGAAGCGCGGGTCCGTGCGCCGTCTCTGTTTCGCGGGCTCCCCTTTTAATCCACCACAAATGTTCATTTTCCGGCCAATTATCGCTAATTTTCATTAGAACGGCGGCGCGACGCGGCGCGGCGCGGCGCGGTGTGGTGTGGTGGTGTGGCGTGGCGTCGCGTGGCATGGCGCGACGCGGCGTGGAGTGCGTTCGTCCTCGCACACGCGGCACGCGAAAGAACTGATTTGCGTTTCCACCTACGCGCTTCCAAACACGTTTAACAGGCCGGCCACACCACGCCGTTGATTTTCGCGGATGGCGACGAGACGTCGTCGGCCGGCGCCAATCAACAAGATCACTTTCATAGGGAAATAATGTAACATAATGAAAGCTGATATTTGATGTTTCCCGCGTTCCCTCAAAGTGAATCAATGAAAATGTTTCCAATTTAATTAACA